ACACACACACACACACACACACACATATATATGAACATTTCTATATGTTATATACAAATATATATCCTCTTGCTGAAAATCACAAAGAATGACGATTAGATTATATTGGATTATTGGCAAAGGAGCTTAGTCTATCTTGTTCCTATTAGCTGTCATCCATAGAGTCATTTCTTTTTATACATGTTTTCAGTTTGAGTTGGAAAAAGTTATAGGGGCTTCTGGAAGGTACTGGTCATTTGTCCCCATATATCCTTTAGCCTTAGCAAGATCCAGTTCAAGTTGTGAGCATTCTTGGATCACACAGTTGATGTCTATTGAAGGTTGAAATCTCAGGGTGTGGGGATGGGACTGAGGAGTGGGAAGAAGTCAGAAGTTAGGTTTGTGGCCACAGTTTCTTGAATACTTTTTTCTTTTATTTACTTTGTTCAGTCAGCCCTCTGTACCACTTTAAGACAGGACACTTTGTCTTGTCCTTACCTATTGAGGGCCCAGGTCACTGTAGAGCTACCTTGAGTGGACAGTGGCCCTCCATCTCTCTCATAGATTTCAGAAGGCCAACACTGACACACAGCTGTGACACATAAGCAGTGTCTGTGTTCTCTAACATTCCATTTAGAAATTCCAATCCTAAGCTTTTCTTTTACACATTTCTAGTTTGTAAATAGCAGACTTTTAAGGTTTTTAAATGTCTTTGAGTGGGTTTTGTTTTATTTGTAGTTCTTTGTTTTCAGAGAAGGGCTGCTCTGAAAAGTTCTGCTCAGCATGATCAGGACTAGTTCCCTCTTTCTGCCCCATCCCTGATATTGGGGGGTCCTATTGTACCTAATCACACTACATGCTATCTTAGAACAGCTCTCTTTTACTTGAACTCCATTCTCTTAGGTAGTTTTGAACTTCTTCAGCAATTTTTTTGGGGGGAGCATTGTGATCCAAACTATTGCCTCATCTTGACTAAGCATGCACTCTACCATGAAGTTAGTCACATTAGTCGTCTTTACTATGCCTACTTGACTATCAATTTATTTCTGTATAGATCCATCCGTTCCTTTTACATTATTTTACACCAATTATTGTTGTATTTTGGACAGAGCAGAAAAGTCTATTTTCAGTTTACCATACTTTATCAGAATCTAAATATAGTATAATCTAAATATTAAAACTAAATAAAACCCATAGGCATTCACAGTTATAATGTATATTGGGAACTTTGAACCACAAGCATACCGCTATGCCACTATCTTTTAGCATAATTTTCTATTTATAGTATCCTTATTTTTCTTGCATGTTTTATACCTTTTATAAGTTATTGAGTGTTTATTGTTCTACTCCACAATACCTGATAGAGTGCTGGTCTAGTACAATGGACTCTTGACTGTTTTGAGCAAAAGGAAATACACATACATCCACAATACTATCCAGATGGTGCTGACTGGGGTGTTAACCTTTTTATTTAAGCCATCTGCTTCGCACTCTAGAAATGGCACAGGGTACTTACAATGAATAGAAAGGTAACAGCACCACACTGAATACCATCTGGAGAATAGCCACAGAGGAATTCTCCATCTAGAAGGAAACCAAATATGAGGAGAATGATTCCAGCTGCTGCTCCCAGGGCACTAAGTAAATTCATCACCTGGCTCAATTTTATCTGCAATAGAATCAAAACATAATACAAGACTCAGGCCTACCTTGCACCACAGACAGAACAGTAGGGGTGGGTAAGTATTGGAGAGCTGGATTAGTCACAACACCAAGAAAACACCATGTGGTAATTTAAAACATTTACAATTTATGACACACCTTCAGGCATTCACCTACAGTGAGAGAAGTCAACCAACCTTTGATAACCTCTCCATATCTCACATTTGGTGCTTGGGTTAACTTCCATTCAAACAGAGCTATGGCCATTTAAATGTTCATTTAAAGACTATGTTTAACCAAACATTGCATTTTTCTGTCACTTTTTCATCTTACTAAAATTACAAACTTTTAGGGCTGGTGAGATGACTCATCAGATAAAGGCACTTGCCACCTGACAACTTGAGTTCCATCCCTGAGACCCAGGGGTGTAGGAGAAAACCAACTCCTACAAGCCATCTTCTAACTTCCACAGGTACACTGTGACTTCCATGGGTACACTTTGACTGCCACAGGTACAGGTGACTTACACAGGTACACCATGATTGCAACAGGTACACTGTGACTTCCAGGGTTACACTGTGACTGTCATGGGTACAGTGTGACTTCCATGGGTACAGTGTGATTTCCATGGGTACAGTGTAACTTCCATAGGTTCTCTGTGATTGCCACAGGTACACTGTGACATGGAATGCACCCCTCCCCTACCCCACCCCTTTTTACATACCCAATAAATAAAAGTAAACATATTTTTAAATTACAGAATTTTAGGGTGTTCTTTGATTAAAATCACATACTGACTTATTAATCTCTATCTAATATCTTTCTTTCTTTGAGTGAGATATAATATGTCTACAAATTTACATAGACCAGCAATGTATTCTTTAACTCTAGGGTCTTTCATGATTTCATTAGGTTGTCTACATTGTGCTCTTCCAGTGAGTCAAACTATGGCCTGTTAAAGCATCTGGTATGGACTAGGTAGGTATCAAAACTACTTATGGAAAGAATGAATGACTGAATGGCTGGATTACTGAGACCCAATCTGCATTAATGACCTGAGGCTATGGATGAGTCTTTGAACTATTCTGTGCCTGTGTCTTCATGTAGAACACGAGACTCAAACATGATAACCTGGAAACGTCTCCTGATAACTAATGGCTTCTGATTCTATGGTGATTTTCAAATTACTAAGCAATTATAATTTTATAAGGTAGAAATAGAACTCACCAGAGAGTCTGTAGTTTTTCTTTTCAGTGCAATCAGAAAAGCTCCAGAGTTAATGAACTACAAACAAACAAACAATCTTCATGATGGACATGGTAAGCTGATGTGGAGTGTTTTTCAGGTTAGATCTCTGCCCATTTCTTTCCTATGCCTCCCTCCTAAGGTCACAGAAACCCCAGGGGAGTGAGGAGGGTGAGCCACCTCACACCACTGTCCACAGAACAGAGTACAAAAAGGATGGATCTGCTTTAGTCTGAGCCACCTGTTTGAAGAAGAGGCTGTTTCTACCTTACTGGTCTTTCATTTCCTTATCCATTTTCCTGTTATTGATATAACGACTCAGCTCCCAACTGACACTAATGTCATCAGTTTAGGAACACTAAAGTCATATAGCACTATAGCCCAGCCAGTATGTTCTGTTGGATGGGAACACCAGCCAACAGACTGGTAATAGGAAAGAGAGGGGAGGAGGGAGGGAAGAAGGGAGGGTGTGAGGAAGGAAGAGAGGGAGGAAGGAAGGAAGAAACCACACACATTAATTTTTATCGAGGTGGGTCAAATATGGCAGCCCCATTGCCTAGTAGAAACTTAAAGTCTGAGTTTGGCCCAGCTATATTTAAAATGTTAGCCTCTTCTTCCAGCTCCCTTAATAGCAGATGCTCTCCCAGGCCATCAGACAGACAATGAAACTCCCTCTCTTTTTACCCGGATAGCCCCTGTTCCCATCCTTTATATGAGCTTTACATCTAATTAAACAACCCTTCATCCTCTAAGCCCTAGTCCAGCTAGAAATGACTCTGGATAGTTCCCTTTATACTTAGATACTTCTATGGAAGCAGCCTCTATGTCCTCTGCAAAATACTTGTCATACCCTATGGTATGAGGACTTGTGACCAGAGACTGCCCTCTACTGAATCCCTCACCCTACCCACTCTCTTATGATGCTAAGTTAATGTGGACCACATGATGTGATTAAATCAGCATCTCTATGTAGCTCAGAAGGCACACCCTGTCTCTGCTTCTTCACTTTCTGCAGAGAAAACTGCTTGCTTATTAGCATCAGAAGCAACCTCATATAGGTATAAGAAGTATGCTGATCTCTTAGCATGGTTTCTTTCTTATTAGACTGAATGTCCATTGGAGGATAATCACTGAAATTGGATCCACATTGTCTTGCTCAGTGAATACAGTTTATCATATATTGCAAGTAATTTTTATGAATTAATGGACCAATAAACAACCACAAAGCCCAAAGGAATATTCCCTCCAAATTTCATGACTCAAAGATGAGCTACCATCAATTCTGGTGATTCAATGGAGGATAGAAGTAATTGCAAAGGGGTTAATATCTTTGTGGCATTTTCTACAGAACCATATACCCAAATATGTCTTGTTTTATGTAAGAATTCATCCACTAACTCCTTGCTTCGTTGACATGCTTTGAAATTGAACTAAATGCACTATACTCACCAAAGCAGAGCCCCAGAATGGATATCCCGAGATAAATATAAAAGGAAACCTTGGGTATGGGTTTACCAAGGTGAAAAGGAAAACAACTCCAAACGAAAAGTGCATGATTCCAAGCAGGATCTGGGTGGTCTGCAAACAGAGGGGGAAGTGAGCTCAGAAGAAACATGGGGTGGGGCCCATTCTACTCAAATCTTTAGTTCAAGGATTTGGCAGGTACCCTCTTTACAGGAAAATAACGGATGTCCTTTTACAACATTCCTTAATGCTTTCTTGATTCCTCCATCTGATAATTGCTCAGAGGAGAATGAGTCTAACCCACTGTCCCCAAGCTCAAGACCAGCTGGTGCTATGAGTGGAAGCTCTCAGGCCCTATTCTCGTCTCACTAAACTCTCCAGCTCTTCAGCACATACACGTGAATGTTGAATTTAGATTACCGAAGCGGCCTGGTCTCAAAGGGACACTCAGGAAAATCCTCTTGAAGGTGAATGTTCCTCTGAACCTTCTGAAGCAGGGTGGCATCTCTAGGCCTGGAGCATTCCTCATGGCTTGTTCTTTATTCTCCCTGCCCTATGCCCTGCTTGTAAGACACATTTTCCACACACTATTAAAGTTAGGCAGGGAGTCAATGGTGCTAGAGAAGCCTGGTGAGAATAACAAAAAGAACAGAAGGCATATGCCCCAGGGGTCATGGCCTCTCTGATTTTTCACTATACTTCCTCAGTCTGGGTGAGCTCTTTCACAACAGAACCAACATTTAGTGGCTGAATACTAAGGGGTATGTACATATTTTCATCACATCTGGTCGACTATCCATCTTGAATATCCTACTACCAACTCAATCCATATGTCCTAAAATGGTCTCACTTTCTCCCTTTAAACCTGATCTTCTGACTTCTTTGTCTCTGTTGTCGATGCTGTCATCGTTTTAGGCCTGGGATCATCAGGTCACCTGTGCTTTTCAAGTTCCCTGATTGCAACAATGCCAAAGCAGCTAACTTTCCTATTATCTCTACTTGTGAAATCATGCATACTTCAGCCAGAAAGATGGCCCAGCAGGTAAAGGTGCCTGACCCCAAGCCTAACAAGCTAAGCTCCATCCCTGGAGCCTAGATGGTGGAAGGAGAGAGTGGACTCCTGAAAGTTTTCCTCTGACTTCCACATATGTGCTGTGGCATGCTTATGATCATATATGTACACAAACAAACACATATAAAAAATATAAATAACAATCTGACAGAGGAATTACAAAAACATGCATATTTGCTTTTTATCCCATTTTCCTGTTGTAGACAATACTGAGGTGCTTAATTCCTAACTTTTATGTTTTTTCCCACGTGTTGGCGGGCATGCAGAGATATTCCTCCATTGTCTGTCATCACCCAGAGCACTCACTGGCTTCTTTCACTTAGCAATATGAAAATGAGATTCTTTATGCTTCCTTTTGGCATGTTAGCTCATTTCTTGTACCCAGAACACTCTTCTACTGCATGGGTATAACATGACTAAACTTACCAGGCGGGTTGATTCTTTTTTAGTCTTCTTAAATACCTTAAGCCGAGATTGACCCCTCCCAGCTCTCCTCTACCACCCCCATGCTTCCCATGCTTCACCTACCAGAGCTTTCTGCATCTAGTATGATTCTGTTTTTCCCTTTCATTCACATTTGTTGAAATTCCATCCTTTTGCCAGAGTCTGGATTCAATGTCCAATTCATTGTGAAATGTACTTGTACCCTTTTAATAGGAAATAACTGCTCCAACTCTGGGGCTTCCACGGTTACTGTTACCATTTATGCTCTCATTAGACACTCCATTGAAACATAATTCTCAATATTTTCATGCTATTATTACATTCGAATGACACCTTTATTTTCCTCAGTGAGGAAGAACTAGTTTGTATTTATTTCTGTGACTACAGAAACTAACATAGTTGCTTGCACCGAGTTGTATTTCTGTTAACTTATTATAAACTATCTCATTCAAGATTGGACTCCATTGTCTTTGAGGAGATGCTGAAGCAGATTACATTAGCAGTCTTCCAGGTGCCACAGGATGAACTTTCTTATATCTGTTTATTTTTTTTTCTGAAAAAAAGATTACTTTCTATATTCCATTATAGGAGGCTGGAGTTCAAATGATGAAATATTCTCAAAGAAGCGGGTTACATTACAACCTCAAATGTACGTGACTACCTCTCACCTGACCATTATCTTAAGAAAGTTTGGTAAATAAAATTAGTATTTGTAGAGTGAATCAGTTGACTGATAGAGAAATGAATGTTTGCCAGGACCCCACCACTAGACAAAGAATTAGGGGCAACTAAGGACTTCGGAGAAAGAGAGAAGTAGTCTTTTAAAGACTCCACACCACCCTGTGAATTGATGATTCATGTACAAGTGGTCAGCAGCACTATCAGAACCAGCAGATTGTATTTATGGATTTGTGTATTTATACATATATGTAACAATCAAAAGGAGACCAGAGTTCTAAGAGGGAACGGTGAAACTAGGATGATGGGAGATTATGTACTTATATTTTTAATTTAAAAAATAAAAAGAGGCTATTCTAAAAATCCATATACTGGTATGCATAAATAAACATACATGAGACTGTTGTATAAAACTGTGAGTCCTGAGCTTTTGTTGGGCAGGTATAAAAATATATGTTGCAGTATGCTAAACTAGGGAATCTGGCCTAACTTCTACTTGATTGTCATTTTTCCATTTTCTCTCTGAAATTGACAAGAAAAATTTCAAAGATGGTTAGCTTGGAGGCTGTGGTTTTTAAGAGTCCAGGAACGCTGAATTTATTTATCTTGCATTTTCCTGCTGGCAGAATTTCATGCGTAATTTATATAGAAGCACAATCCATAATTTATGAATTGAGTGGAGATGGGAGGTGGAGTTTGATCC